GAGGTCTTTGCCATACCGAATCAAGAGGCAGTAACTGTAGCCACGAAGTTGGTAAACGAGGTATTCACCCGATTCGGAGTGCCCTTGGAGATGCACAGTGATCAAGGACGGAACTTTGAATCCCAAGTTTTTCAGGAAACTTGTAAACTTTTGGGAATCCATAAGACTCGAACGACCCCTTATCATCCACAGTCAGATGGAATGGTCGAACGTTTCAACCAAACATTGGAGCGACACTTAGCAAAGGTGGTTGACAGCCATCAGAGAGATTGGGACACTTACATACCTCTCTTCTTGCTTGCCTATCGGACTGCTGTACATGAAAGTACCGCAAAGACGCCTGCATTTGCAAATTTTGGAAGGGAATTGAGATTACCGGCAGATCTTGTATCGGGCTGTCCACCTGGCGACACTCGCACCGAGTTTAGCGATTACATAAGCGAGTTAAGGGCAAAAATGTTGGACATTTACGAGCAGATCAGGGAGGCCGGTCTTCAAGCTAGTGATCGCGCAAAAACGCGCTATGATCGACGAGCCAATTCTGTTGGTTTTGAAGAGGGGTCATTGGTCTGGCTTCATAATCCAGTCAGAAGGAAGGGAAAATCTCCGAAGCTGCAACCGAGTTGGGAAGGCCCTTATGAGATAGTCACGAAGATCAATGACATTACTTACAGAATTCGGAAGTCTTCAAGGAGCCCTTTGAAAGTTGTCCATATAGACAGGTTGGCGAGGTATTACGGCAGCAACGATGCTCGGGACGAGCGAATCTAAGAGGGGGGCAGTGTGACGGAAAAGTGGTTCAAACTCTTTGACATCATGACGTCAATGGATGGTTGTCAAACGTTGCCTAGAGATTGTAAATTTCGTCGTGAATTGTCAACACGAGTTGGTGTAATCGGTAAGGCGTGTGGATTACACCACAGAGACCCCGAGTTCGAGTCCCGCCGTAAACATGAAGTTTTTTAGTTGATAGAAGTTTTGTGGAACTTTCTGGAATTATTTGTGTGAAAGAAATGAAAAATTAAAGAGCGAGAAGGAGAATAAATAAAAATGAGTAACGAAATTATTGGAAGGTTCTGGAGTCATGACGATCAAAAAGAATAACGAAATTGAATGTTCCAGAACCTGAACCAGGGGTATATAAGCGGAACTGCGGCTCACCGCTGGCAGTTGAGTTCTAAGTCTAAAGCGATTCGGAAGAAAAGGAAGAAGTGAAAAAGAAGAAAAGTGAGTGAAATAGTGAAGTGCAGTGAAATAGTGAAGTGCAGTCAGTTAAGTGAGTTAAGTCAGCGTGAACGGCAAAGTTGTGTCAGTCGGCCGGACTCTGCTGGAGAGGAACGCCGATAACTTAACTCCGTGGACGCTGTAACTTAAGTGCAATAGAAAGTCTGAAAACGGTATTAGTGTTTCATTTCATCCAATCCCGTAACTCAAGCCCGCATAGTCAGGAACGTGACGTCAGGCACGTAACAATATGAAATAGGTGCTATTTAAATAAAAAATATTGAATTAAAATTAAAAAGAACATTCAGAAAAGAAAACCTAATTGCCAATATATTTAGATAGTTTACAGCGGAGCAGTCCCAATTGACGGGGCCTGTACACGAACATGGCACGTACACCAGTACCGTTGAACTCGACCATATTTTAGAGAAAATATCCAATGCCCGTGCCCCCGTGAGTGAGCATGACAACTCTAAGCTGACACATGTAATTACCACCTTCAACTAGTCTAAAAATATATTTATATACATTTACCTATTACAAATCAAAATTAATTTCTACCACTAGATAGTAAGACTTCTACTAAGTACAAGTAACAATTGATGAAGGACGCAAAAATTACACTTTGGGCCAAGCTAAAAAAAACTCGCAATCATATTTCACAAAGTTCCCTTCTCTAAACCAGTTGAGGTGTTCACAAAAGACCGGATGAAGCTTGTCTACGTATCCGGGTATCCGAGATGAAAATTTATTGTTTTTTTTTCTTTAATAAATAACTTTTTTATTCTATACTCGGAGATATCTGAAAACAGGTTTGTGAGAAAATTGAAAGAGTATTGAATCTTCATGAGAGGGTTAAGATAGGTAGTTCGTTTGCTGTCAATTTGTAAGCTTTCAGGGTTGTGATGGGCAGAAATATAAATAAGAAATGTGGTTTTCTCTCAAGCTATTCTTATAAACAACTAGCGGTAGCCTATTTTTTTTCTACATACAAACCTTTACTGGACTTCCACGATTAATTCAAGACCATTATAACATTACAACGAAAAATGGCATTGATTTTTATATATAGATTAAATAGATTTTTTAATACTTTGTTACTTACTTTAAATAGGTACTCCATCCACTGGATTAAGTTCTTTTTTTTAAGTTAACGCCATCGAAACATTGCAGTTACTAGCACTCTGATTGGTTGATTAACTTGAAGTAGACCAATCAAAGCGTCGTAAGTCAATCGTTCTAACGTAAAACCAACTAGTATGAGGTATTATATTCTTCCTTCTGCCATCGTTTTCTTGTATACTACTGGAATCTAGAGGCTTGTATGTTATTAAGTACAAGATATTTCGATGGTTGGATATTTACGTTGTACAAGTTACTTTTTTTTTATGTAATAGGTCGCCAAACGAACACACTGATTACCTGATGGCAACGGAGGAGTTACGAGTGCATCGCCGACCTTTTAGTTTAGGATTTGGAGGTTTAGGGACTGGGGAGGGATTGGGGGAGGGATTGGGAAAGGGGAAGGATTGGGTCTCCGGTAACCTCACTCACACGGTGAAACACAATATTGTGGTTGTTTCACACCGGTTTTCTGTGAGGCCGTGGTATCGCTCTTATTCGTACAGTTATTTCTAATTTTGACTGCCAATCCAGCAAAAACTTTGTAAATTATTGCAAAACAAAAAAAAAATACCACGCAACATAAGGCTTTTTTAGAGAAATATTAAGAAACGTACCTAAATATATATCACAATGGTTAAACGAGTCGATACTTACATAAAGGTAGTCTGCATCTGCAATACAATATCTAATTCAACATAAACACACATAAGTAACACAAAGGTCATATTGCAACACGTCCATTAAAAACCCATAATTCGTGAGTTGACAAGGAAAAAATCAACATCTTTTTATTTCGATGCTGTATGCACAGCGGGCATATAAGATGTTCACTCATGTTACCCGGACCTTCGTGCCGCCATTTTGAAATACAATTTTAAGAATACTGACCATATTGAGTAACTCCGGTTTTCACATTATTTAAAAATACTAATGTTGCAAGTTTTACGAGAATATTTTTACCTTAAATGTGACATTAGGTTAGGTGCGTTGTGTAATTAGTAAAGTGTATTTTTTTATGGTATAAGTCGGTAAATGAGCAGACGGATTACCTGATGGTAAGCAATCGGCGCCGCCCATGGACACCCGCAACACCAAAGGAGTTACGAGTGCGTTGCCGGCCTTTTGGGGATAGGTGTTGCGGATATAAGGATCGGGAAGGGGAGGGATTAGGCCTCTGGTAACCACACTCACACGGTGAAACACAACACTGTGGGTTGTTTCACGCCGGTATTCTGTGAGGCCGTGCTATACTATCACTCGGTATCGGTCGAGCCGACCCATTCGTGCAGAAGCATGGCTCTCCCACACTTGAAAGTTGATTATTAGGTTAAAAATTTTTGTCGCAATTTCTTTAAGTTAGTATTAACAATATATAGTTTAGTGCTAAAGGTTGCCAGGGATGTGGGGCCACGTGTGGGGCAAACACAATATAAGGTTCTCCGACCTTGGCCTCGAGCAGGAGAAAGTACTTGGTTGTTATTAATCATTTCGTTTTAGATATTCCCTATCATCCCACCCTGGGCCAGAGGAGAGAAGTCATTGCATGATAAACGCCGCTCAAAAAAATGCTAAAGGTTAGGCCCATTTTCCTCCGACGAAACTAACTTTTATCTGAATGACGAAACTGAAAAAATGACTAGATAGGACCTACTAATTGAGGTAATTTTATAAATTAATATATGCTAATATTATTAAGGTATGTTTGTAAGTTGTGTGTAGAGGTAATATTTGGAACTGCGTCCTCGGATTTACAAAATTCTTTCACTAATGATAGCTACAATGTTTCCGAGTGCTATAGGCTATAAAACATCACGCTACAATCAATTGGAGCCGAGCAGCGAGTGAAACCGCGCGGCATGAGCTAGTTTTAATATAGGTTAGGTATGAAAAATTGATTAAAGAAGATATACTTAATACCCATAAAACCCTGATAAATATGGTACCTAAATATAATTATTGTTACCTATGAATAAAAAGCAGGAAAAAGAAAGATGGAAAATGGATGACGACGTCACACGATCACTCCGGCCCAATGCAACTTGGATAAGTAAAGATTTATTTGCCTAAGTAATTCGATGAGCAATAAATTTTATAACCGCGAACCGTAAACTTAAAAAATAAAACCACTTTTTAATGTATTAAAACTCGATTAGATGGATATCCGATATAAAATTTATTTATATATTTGTCATCGTACCGGTGTTCTAATTAATTACATTGATGCAGTATAAACCTTTTTCTGACATACGGTAGCTCGTTGGTTAGGTAGAAATTCAGCCACAGTTTTAGATCATTTAAACCTATTACAAAAAACATAAGTACGTGCCTAATCGCAACTTCTTAAAATGCTCAAAAAGATGCTTCATTGCAGTTTAGTTTCTATATTAACTATAAGAAGTAAATATTTTAGTCTGTCTAAATGATAGTCTACGTCATGAACAGGGAACTACTCAATACTTTCTTCACATTCTACCTTTTTTGTTCTCGCATAATTACTGTCAGGCGGCTCATGCTCGTGCCGTCATACGATTATGACTTTCCTACATCTGAACTGGGGACAATGATCAGACAGACCTACGATCCATTGCTCCCCACTGAACACAGAAAGTAAAAGCACAACGCACCACCGCGGCCAATTCATTGTCCGTCACGAGAGTGAGCGCGCTTCACGCGTTATGTCAAAATCTCCCGCCAAAAAAAACGTCAAACCAAACCCGTAGTCGTTTCGTCCGAAAACCTTAAAAAGTTTTTTTGAGATATTTTTTGTTGCATTAAGTTATCGAAGTGCGTCGAACTCTGGAGTGCACCGTCCTCAGTTTCATAAGTGCTTGTAGAATGTTATTGTGTGGTCGCGCAGTGAAAGTGGCGTGACGTAATCGTTACATTAGAGCTGTTATTATGGCGGATATCGTTCGTTTCGGGAAGCGGTGTCTTACTGTTCTCGGACTTTTTGGTAAGTTTTTTTTTTGTTTTTAGCCTATCTGTCTTAAATGATATTATATTCATTCTGCCCATGTCGTAGGTACTTATTTAGTTACGTGAGTTATTTAATTATAAAATGTTAAGTTTATGTTAAAATAGTATTACCTATTGCATTTACGATAATTATGATCTTAATTACAAACACTTATATGATTTATAAGCTACCAGCATGCTATCTGAGCTATAATGATTTATTGAAAACTGTTAGATGTATTACTATGCAATAAATTATTATTAAAAACTCGTCGCATTAAATTAAACTGCTTTAAATTGACATAAATAATTACATGTTACAGATTACGTACCTATATTTAATTTATAATTCCACTTTTATTATAAACGCGAAAGTAAGTGGAGTGGATATTTGTCGCTCTTTCACTAAACTAAAAGTATTATTAATTTGATAGTCTTTTACTAAAAACTATTGAATGGATGAAATCTGGCACAGAGCTAGATTATTAGTAGTCTCGAAGAACATAATAAAGACTTTTTATCCGGGCAACGCGGAGGAAGCCGGTGGCAGAAGCTAGTTTGAACATAAACAAGCATATCTTTTAGTAATTTGACTAAGTATTACTTCTCGATGGCCCGCCATCGAGAAATAATGGTCAAATTACAATTACATTTTGACTAAGAGCACTTTACATAATACTTATATGTATTCAGATTTACCATTTTACAATTTAAAATATGTTCTACACTCGCTATCGCTAAAACGCTCAAATTAACGTTGAATATATGTATGTACATTATTTAACTAACCCGTATTTAGGGTAATGTAAGGTAGGTTATGTAAGAACCTACAAAACTACAATTAGGTCTTGTAGAAAGTAACAAAAAATACTTGTCTTTTTTGGCTATCGTAAAAGCAATAAAATTATTTGTCTTTATTGTTTTTACGTTTAAAAGAGTTCTGTAATCGAATTTTGGATGAAACTTTGAAGGTAGGTAGGTAAAAATGCTTTTAGCATATCATGACCATACTATCGTTGCGCCTTCTTTTCATGTACGATGCAGGTTCAAAACCTGGCACCAAAATGTGTCTTTTTCATAGTTATTGGTACTTATACCAAGATCGTTTAGGCATCAGTGGTATATCCTAAGGAAAAGATCAGAAAACCGGATTTAAATAAAAAAATAGTCACAGTTTAGTCACCAATCCGCCTTGAGCGAGGATGGCGATTGATCCTCAAACCTTCTTCGTGTGAGAAGAGGCCTTTACTCAACAATGAGCACTTACATGCTGATGATGACTGCTGTAAATGCACTTGAGTCATAGACTATGGAATTTTACACTAAGTAAAATAAAAGATTTTAATGACTATAGAATTAACTTGCTACTTAATGGGACAAGAGGTTGTATATGTACTAGTTTTCCTCACTATCCTGCTAACTGGGTATGTTATAGATATGAAATTTAGGATGCGGATTGGATACGGATATGAAATTATTTCGGATTATCCGTTAGTTTCGGTTACTATCGGTTACGGGTAAAAAAATGTTAAGAAATTTCAAAAGTAAAATACAAACATAACGCTTCTCAATTAGTCTCCACCCCTATCCTATATTATCCGAAACTACCATTTCGAATTCGGTTACAGTTGAGCTAGATAAAAGCTTAAATACTTAGTATCTATAACCACAGATAATAGAAATAACTTTCTCAAGTATTTTTTTTAAATCATCAAAATCCTCAGTTTTCTTTCATTTTGTTTGGGATTGTGTATTGCGACGTCAAATGTTTTTTTGCGTCAAATAGCTTGCCTGCTTGCAATTCAAAAGCCACGCTTGTAAAACAAGGCAAACATTCTTAAAAGAAAGCTAGCTTAACGCCCTTATTAGGCTTAATAAGCTAAAATACGTATCCATTACCGCAGATAACAAAAATACTTTCGAAGTAACCCTCACTAATTGTGCTGTGATAAGCGCCCAGCGTGCTCACAGCACTATCTAAGACATTGTTATCAACATTTCTATTTAGTTATCAACAAGCTTTCCTCTCTCATTAACTTGCGGTAGGTCCAAGCTTATTTACGCTTGTTATAAAGAGAAAATATTTTTAACTATAAATATAGCTGCTAATAAAAGGAAAAACATGCTTTCCCTATATCACTCCAGCTCCTTAACTACAATAGGGAACACGAGAGACGATTTCCGGCCATGGGCGCGGGTCTGCGGGCGGCGAGTAAGGATAGCTAGCCTCCCGAGCCTACGGCGCCTAGCGTTCCGCGCGCGGCTCAAAGAGCAAATAGACCACCACAGACGGGGCCCTGTAGGGCTGATGTTCAGTCGGGATTGCGGGGTAAGCGCCTTGGCCACGGCCTCGGCCCAGAGCAATATAAGGGACGGAGGGGGGTTTTAGTTAGTAAGATTCTCTTCTCAACCTGGGCAAGAGAATCTATTTTCTTAGTTATTTGATTATTTTCCCCAAACAAAAAAAAACTATCAAAAGCATAACCTCAAAATCTTTATATTCGTATTGTAATAAAATACACCGACCCTAGTGTTTTTTAAACGTGGCCATACACACCACAATCAGTCCCGAAACAACATTCGCTCAAACTCACAAAGATCCCCGTACGAGAATTGAATTTAAGAAATCCTGCACGCAGTCAATTAATTTCAACGAATATGTGCATTAGGTATAAAAATACGCAACTCTCGTCTTCATAATAAAACGGAATACCTTTAAAAATACTTCTATCCAAGTTAGTAATTATAGTAAAAATGTTACTTAAAATATTTCATTTTAAAATTAGAAACTAGACAGAGAAAGCAGTTCTTTTCTTTTGTAGTAATTAGCCGAGGAGGTTTTAGTCATATGACGAACAAAACGGACCGAGGGAAAGAGTGCACACTCTTTTGTTTATTATCCACTCGAAAGGCCCGAGATGCATATTATGTAAGTTGACACAGAAAAATATATTTAATTTATTAGTTGTTAAGGTTTAAAAATAACTGGCTGGTTGTGGCAGCATTTTGCATAAATACATAGTCCGAAAAGTATTTTCAGCTCATGTTTATATGAAAAGTATATATGATGTTTATAGAATATATTTATTTGTCAACACCTATGTTTTACAAATAAATATATTCTATTCTATTCTATTCTATTCTATTCTGTTCTATTCTATTCTATTCTATTCTATTCTATTCTATTCTATTCTATTCTATTCTATTCTATTCTATTCTGTTTACCACCTTCATATAAGTTCCCAAAAACTTATGACAAACACATACACACATCATATTCGTATACTAACTTAAGGTTAGTGTAAAGAGATTACGTTACCTGATTTTTTATATGATAGGTCAGCAAACGAGCAGACGGTTTTCCTGATGGTAAGCAATCATGGAAGTCTGGTCTGCTGCTGCTGTCTGCCATCATCACACGGTTTAAGAGACTTAAGAAGGATATTAAAAGTCAGAACGACCTAGTTTAGCACCCGCACCGTGCATTACAGCTGCACTTGCAATAATTATTTAAATGTCAGTGTTTAACGTTAATTGCTTTCCAACTTGGAGATACAACCTCACTATAACTATAACTTGTACAACAGTTACTATCTCAGTTAAATGATATAGCCCACCCATTAGCAGGCGTAAAGACTTGACTTGGTTGCCTACTAAACTTTTATCAGTTAATTTCAAACTATTTAAGTCAATATCAGTTCATTTAATTATTTTATTACTTATCATTTTTGAGGAACATTACTATGTTCTCATCATCCCATGTTCATTGATATTTTTGATAAATCTTTGGTTGAACTGCCCTGCTTATACTTTCAAGTTTTGCTCTCATACATCTTATCATTTGATTATTTGCTTGCAGCAGCAAAAACCAGTTAAATATAATCGTCCAAATTGTCCAAAAATATTTTGGTGATATTATTTCATAAATTTATTAATAACTTTTAACTTTTTTATTAATAATTTTACTCAGCAAGAATATCTGTCAATTCCGTTAGAAAATACACAAATCAAACAAATTCATTTAATATTTATGTATGCCAACCGACATAAACAACGCCCCTATGACAGCTTATCAATAACAAATTACATTCATATAATCCAAACGACTTGCAACGAACGCATTCTGTACATTGTATATGGCACAGAAAAACTTTAAAATTGTTACATACTAGCATATTGCATGATCGATTATCACGATCACATAACAATTACGATGTAATCGATTAATTTGCTACGTGATCGTTTTTGTGTCAGTGCCCACACCTCACTATCTACGCGTTTAAAAAATCAAACTGTCAAGAATGTCTTGTCGTTTTCGCGGGTAAAATGTTTCGGTTTGTTTTTTTTTCTACGATTAAAGAATGCAGAGTAACAAAATGTGGGTTCTATAGACATAGAGTAAAAAGATCATATTTTTTCGCAGCTGAGGTCAATTTCTACGTCGTGATTATTAACGATCCCACAACTACCCACTAACTAGAGTTTGAAGGCAAAGCAAGAACTGGCAGTTCATTTCACAGCGCCCTTACCAACTAAATAGTTTGTTCGTTAACTAATCGAACTCCGTTCAGAAATTCATTGCCGACCATTGGAAAGTTGTTGGCTTTACACAACTTATGGTGATTAAAAGCATTATTGATTCGCACTGCTTATACCGATTATTGTTAATTTGAAATGGCAACCATGTTGCAAAGTTAATTATGGGATCCACGTTCGACGCCATGTCACGAGCCACGATCAGCCGATCAGGTTTGATCCCAGATCGAAACCAATTAGTTAAGTTACGTAAAATATTTTGCTTTCGAAAATTAAATGAGTACTGCATGTAAATAGATAGTGTAGAACACCGCCATTATTGAGAAATAGATTACCTATATTTATTCTATACCTACTTATTACAAATTTATAAGTACATATAAATCGACATATTTTAGGCAACTAAATTACAAATAAGTAATCTAGATTTGCCATTTGCTGCAACAGGGCTAAAAATATTTC